TGCTCTCTAAGTTCAGTCCACCACCTGCTCTCTAGGTTCAGTCCACCACCTGCTCTCAAGTTCAGTCCACCACCTGCTCTCTCTCCCAAGTTCAGTCCACCACCTGCTCTCTCCCAAGTTCAGTCCACCACCTGCTCTCTCTCAAGTTCAGTCCACCACCTGCTCTCTCCCAAGTTCAGTCCACCACCTGCTCTCTCTCAAGTTCAGTCCACCACCTGCTCTCAAGCTCAGTCCACCACCTGCTCTCAAGTTCAGTCCACCACCTGCTCTCTCCCAAGTTCAGTCCACCACCCACTCTGCTCTCTCAAGTTCAGTCCACCACCTGCTCTCTCTCAAGTTCAGTCCACCACCTGCTCTCTCTCAAGTTCAGTCCACCACCTGCTCCCAAGTTCAGTCCACCACCTGATCTCAAGTTCAGTCCACCACCTGCTCTCAAGTTCAGTCCACCACCTGCTTTCAAGTTCAGTCCACCACCTGCTCTCAAGTTCAGTCCACCACCTGCTCTCTCACAAGTTCAGTCCACCACCTGCTCTCTCTCAAGTTCAGTCCACCACCTGCTCTCTTTCAAGTTCAGTCCACCACCTGCTCTCTCTCAAGTTCAGTCCACCACCTGCTCTCTCTCAAGTTCAGTCCACCACCTGCTCTCTCTCAAGTTCAGTCCACCACCTGCTCTCAAGTTCAGTCCACCACCTGCTCTCTCCCAAGTTCAGTCCACCACCTGCTCTCTCCCAAGTTCAGTCCACCACCTGCTCTCTCTCAAGTTCAGTCCACCACCTGCTCTCTCCCAAGTTCAGTCCACCACCTGCTCTCTCCCAAGTTCAGTCCACCACCTGCTCTCAAGTTCAGTCCACCACCTGCTCCCAAGTTCAGTCCACCACCTGCTCTCTCTCAAGTTCAGTCCACCACCTGCTCTCTCCCAAGTTCAGTCCACCACCTGCTCTCTCTCAAGTTCAGTCCACCACCTGCTCTCTCTCAAGTTCAGTCCACCACCTGCTCTCTCCCAAGTTCAGTCCACCACCTGCTCTCTCTCAAGTTCAGTCCACCACCTGCTCTCTCTCAAGTTCAGTCCACCACCTGCTCTCTCCCAAGTTCAGTCCACCACCTGCTCTCTCTCAAGCTCAGTCCACCACCTGCTCTCTCTCAAGTTCAGTCCACCACCTGCTCTCTCCCAAGTTCAGTCCACCACCTGCTCTCTCTCAAGTTCAGTCCACCACCTGCTCTCTCTCAAGTTCAGTCCACCACCTGCTCTCTCTCAAGTTCAGTCCACCACCTGATCTCAAGTTCAGTCCACCACCTGCTCTCTCTCAAGTTCAGTCCACCACCTGCTCTCTCTCAAGTTCAGTCCACCACCTGATCCCAAGTTCAGTCCACCACCTGATCTCAAGTTCAGTCCACCACCTGCTCTCTCTCAAGTTCAGTCCACCACCTGCTCTCTCTCAAGTTCAGTCCACCACCTGATCTCAAGTTCAGTCCACCACCTGCTCTCTCTCAAGTTCAGTCCACCACCTGCTCTCTCTCAAGTTCAGTCCACCACCTGCTCTCTCTCAAGTTCAGTCCACCACCTGCTCTCTCTCAAGTTCAGTCCACCACCTGCTCTCTCTCAAGCTGAGTCCACCACCTGCTCTCTCTCAAGTTCAGTCCACCACCTGCTCTGTCTCAAGCTGAGTCCACCACCTGCTTACAGAAAGTAGCTCAGACATTGGTAGTTACAGACTCATTCAACATGCTTATGAAGATCAAAGGCAGGCAAACTCCAACAAAAATGAGTTGACAGAATCCAGATTTCTTGCCTCAAGAAACTATCCTGGCATCATACACTGGGAAACGCCGGGGTTAAAGGAATAGAAAGAGGCTGAGTGATTGGCCGTGTCTCCATTGGATTGTGGAGAAAGCAGTATGGACAGGGCAGACATACTGAGTGGGCTACTTTCTAGAGATGTTGAGATAAACGAGTTAGTGATGATGAACCACTTGTTGGAGATGGGAATTAAACGAGGTCAAGCATGCAGAAACCTTTTACAGTGCAAAGAAAGAAGTCAGCTTCTGATAGATACCATGAGCACAGAAACACTGAAATGGCTGCTGCCTCAGAGGACGGAGCATGTATGGGTCTGACTGATGTGCTAGGATGTTGATACAGACAACAACTTACAAGTAACCTGCTCTGATGGTTTCACCTTAACCTATACTTTCTCTTGCCCAAAGATGCTTCGTAGGCTAAGGAAGGAAAGGAGAGCTTACAACACAGTGATATCAGTGTAAAATAAGGATTTCATATTTTCATTACTTTGCAATGCCTCGAATGAACCTGGATAACTTGACATCCACTTCACAGATGAGAGATCACTAGTGTCTTCACTGCCAAAGAAGCTCCAGACCGACCTGGCCATTAGTGTTCACTTCAATACCTTGTCGAAGGTGCAGCTGTTTCAGGACTGTGAGAGAAACCTCTTGTATGACCTGGTGCTGAAGCTGAAGCCTATTCTATACCTACCTGGAGATTACATTTGTAAAAAGGTGAGTGATTACATATGTAATGAATGATCAAGCCACTGCACTTGTAAATGTTTTGTAAGATTATATTTGATGCAGGTGAAAGGATGTGAAAATAAAGTGTAACTCTTTATGTCCAGGTTTACTTTAACTGTATCTGGGTTATTCCTAATTGTAATAAATTATAAAATGCTTGGACTGAAAGGCATTAAATAACAACTCCATATGACAGGAGGAGCTATGTAACAATTGGGACAGAGTGAGCTCATAAAGCATTTGGATAAAGCAAATAAAGTTCAGGAAACAATTAGCTGTAGCAAATAAAGTTAAAGAAACAATTAGATGTAGCAAATAAAGTTAAGGAAACAATTAGATGTAGCAAATAAAGTTAACCAAACAATTAGATGTAGCAAATAAAGTTAACATAAGTAAATCATGCATAGAGAAGCTAAGAAATGCATGATGCATTACTTTGTACTGAATGGGTTGAGTTTGTTGAAGATAAAAAAAACTGTATTTCTAAAATATTATCAATTACACTCCTTACTTGCACAGTTCATGATGACTCCACTAGATATATTGCCTTGAATTCTACGCTCCCCTAAAAGTGGTTACATACCAGCAATAAAGACTAAAGACTGTTTACAAATTCAATCTGAATATGGTTTCTGAGAAAGTCCTGCTCTAGCAAGTTCAGGTTTAAAAAAAAAAATAGATGTCTCTGTGGCTATCTTGCGAGATAGAGGCACAGGGGATACTCTCGGGGGTGGCAGTATAGTCGCCGGAAAGAGGTCCACAATTTACATATGACTGAGGCCCTGTTAGGGTATTTTTTTAGCCTCAATAATTTAGGACCGCTATTTGGAGGATAGCCCATTGGTCTGTAACCATTCTGTGTGAAATCATTTGACTGTTCTGGTTCTGTATGAAATCATTTGATCTTTCTGTATAATATCATTTGACCTTTCAGAATGAAATCATGTAACCAATCTGTGTGAAATCATTTGATCTTTCTGTATGATATCATTTGACCTTTCAGAATGAAATCATGTAACCATTCTGTGTGAAATCATTTGATCTTTCTGTATGATATCATTTGACCTTTCAGAATGAAATCATGTAACCATTCTGTATGAAATCATTTGATCTTTCTGTATGATATCATTTGACCTTTCAGAATGAAATCATGTAACCATTCTGTATGAAATCATTTGATCTTTCTGTATGATATCATTTGACCTTTCAGAATGAAATCATGTAACCATTCTGTATGAAATCATTTGATCTTTCTGTATGATATCATTTGACCTTTCAGTATGAAATCATGTAACCATTCTGCTGTGTTTTTGTCAGGGAGAAGTTGGCAAGGAGATGTATATTGTCTCACAGGGACAGGTGGAAGTGGTCGGGGGAGAGAACAATGAAACTGTACTAGCAACCTTACATGAAGGCAGTGTGTTTGGGGAAATCAGGTAAAGTACCGTCTTGTTAACTCTTTTAAGTCTGTCATGTGTCATAAGTCACCTGCTTGTCCTTTTGATTCCCACCCATCATGGAGTGCTGGAGTGTTTTCCTTTTGGTCAAATTGATGTTTCCAGTGTTAAATGTGAACCTTACTACAACTAATGAGTGTGGAATCATAATAAGAGAGGCAAGATGTTTTGGAAGAGCTACCAAGTAAGAACAAGAGATAACAATTTAAAATGAAGAAATTACAATAAGGCTACGACTGAAATCAGATATACGGTTCATTAAAGGCCAACAGATGAGATGGTTTAGCCATCTGACGAGAATTCCCTGGTACCAACTGCCAAAGAGAGCGTTGCCTCAGTGAGAATAAAGTTGTATGGTACAGGGGAAGATATAAACTGGTCGACAGCTTTCATCAAGGCTACCAGCCTCCTGATGTAAGTTTTTTGACAGAAGGATCGAAGAAAAGGAGAAAAATGAATGAAAAAGAAGAAGAACAACAATAAGAACAAGAAGAACAAGAAGAAGAAGAACAAGAAGAAGAAGAAGAAGAAGAAGAACAAGAAGAAGAAGAACAAGAAGAAGAACAAGAAGAACAAGAAGAAGAACAAGAACAAGAAGAAGAACAACAACAACAAGAACAAGAACAAGAAGAAGAAGAAGAAGAAGAAGAAGAAGAACAAGAAGAAGAAGAACAACAACAACAGCAGCAGGCAGCAAGAAGAAGAACAGCAGGAAAAGAACCCAAGATAGAAAGATGTCAGGAGGAGAAGGAGGAGGAGAAGGAGAAAAAGAAGAAGCAGCAGCAGGAAAGTACCCAAGATAGAAAGATGTCAGTGTTAAACATCATCGTCCATACTTACCAACATGACACAGCATGATTGTGATAATGATGTACTTAATGTTAGATGAGATGAGTTTTCGGGTAGTCACTTTAATTCTCTGTTTGTCCTTAACTGTTGTACTGTTGTATTGTTGTACAGTTGTACAGTTGTACTACTGACGACTTCCTTATCTCCTTATCCAGTCTTCTGGCCATGTCCGGCCGTGGCAATCGACGAACTGCAGATGTCAGGAGCAAGGGTTACACAAACGTGTTCACACTCTCCAAAAAGGACTTTGAGATGGCCATGACCGAGTACCCAGATGCCCAGTTTGTGCTCAAGAAAAGAGCAAAGTAGGTCTTTTTAATCCTCTAGAGAAAATACAAAAGCACTGAATGTTTACCTGCTTAACTTTTTCAGTACCAGAAGGTTTGACAGGACATGCTTAAGGATGGAAAGGAGATAATCATTATAAGATATGAGTGGCTCAGTTTCAGAGAGACTAACTTTTTCACTGGAAGTTGCCAGAAGTTTTAATGTGCTTTAACCAGATGTAATTAAACACAGAATGCAATGACTGGGATTCATGTAGCCATGTGATATGAGGCCACCGCACACCATGTGTTCCTTGGTACTCAAAGAGTTAACTGACATAGCACCAGTGCAGAATTAAATAGTTCTCTGTCGGTTTAATGTGTCCAGTGTTTGCCTCATTGTTACTAAGATCTGGTTATTGTGTCTGTCCCCAATCTTCTGTTTCATGTATTCTCAATCATTTCTAATACACATATTCATCCATGCCATGATGACTAACTGGCCAGAATGTATTTTTCTTGGTGTTTCTCTGCTTCCTCTCTTCTAATATTCCTCTTATGGTGACATTCTCAGATTTTCACCTTCCCACAGTGTGACAAAAGAATGTAGATTGTCGCTTTTGATCTGGGTAGGGTAATTAGTTCTCTTCTAGGTTAATTTCTTTCAAAAGAAAGGTACTATTTTTGGCATGTTTTCGGATGAATAAAGCAAAGACAAAGCAGTCACTAAAATGGAAGACAAAGATTCGAGGAACAGATTGAGTGGTGATTGATGTATAAAAGTATTAGTGTATAACAATATTGGTCTATAAAACACTATTGGACTTAAAAAATATTGATCTGTGCAAATATTGGTCTATAAAAATACTGGTCCAACAAGATATATGAATGTTGTAAAAGAATTGTTTAGTTTTGTTTTGAAAAGACACACTATTGCTGAACCCACTTAACTCTTGTGAGTGTCTATAATGAACAGAAAACTGCTGAGAGCCAATGCCAAGTTGGAGAGAATGCACAAAAAAGTTACAGCTGAGGAAATCATCAAAACTTCACCAGAGACACCCAAACTGCTGCAAACTGTGGTCCAAGTTATGGATCCAGACTCCAACTTTGTCAAACATATCAACCCCACTGTACAGAAGTGTCACACCCATTCTCGTAACCCCCATTCAAGGTTTGTAACTCTTCATGTTTTTTTCATGTTTCTTTGCGTCATCAGGAGTTTATCTGAGCAGCTAGGGGTTATTGTTAGTTTCCATAACTCTAACATGCCAGATTCAGTTCAGCTGCAGATGATTTGGCAACAGATCACTTTGCGATGATTTCCATAATGTTATGAGTGTTGACCGTATAAGGGATGGAGGAAAAGCTGAATGTGAAACTGCCTGGTGAACTTTGTAATGTCAAGCTGTTCAGGGAAATATATTCAGGACACGGTCATATTTATCTCCTTGATGCGCTAACCTACTGTCTGTATCCTCTTCTCTAGTTCTGTTCTACCTGGAATGACAACATCAAGAAGTGGACAGGATTAAGTTATCATACACTTATTCATCAAGCAGAAGACAGAGAAAGATGGCTGGTTTTATTTGCTAGTGCTTCCATCAATATACCTCCATGACCCTAATGGGTCAAGGGTTATGTTATGTTATGTTATGTTATGTTATATGTGTTACATAGATGCTGGTATGTTGTTTACTAATGGTTCTGTCCCAACTGGTTTCCCTGACATAATTTCTGATTGTGTCTCTTCTATTTACATTTAGGATTTGTCATAGGCTTTTCGTTTGTTATTTCAATTGTTTCCTGTTGTTGTTACTATCCACATTTGGCACTGATCTCACAATGTTGGTAAAAATACTATTTTGGATAGTGCTCTGTTGGTGTCCTTTGTTTTGTGTTTGTTCTGCAGTATTGGTGTCATCTGTCCAATTATTTGATTATTTTATTTCACCTGTCATCTATTTTTGCTTCCAATTGCCCGTTAGGCTACTCTTTTCGATCAGACCATCTACATAAAGCAATAATCAATCTGATAGATAAAATAGTAATATAGGTTGGAAATTCCAGGCAGATGACCGATTGAACAATTAAGAAACAGGAAAATGCCACCAGGGAGAAACAAACAGGAACAAAAGGCAAATGATGATTAAATAATCGTTTATAATAACATAAGCCAGTTTGTCTTTGTAGCCAACGCTACGCAATCCGCACCAATGCCAAGAGGAAGAAGCATAGACGGAGCTAATACTGACGCAGCACAGACTAGGTAACCCACCCAGTTGTTGTAAAATACACTAGCATAATGAGGTACTTAAATGAGGGAACAATCCAACGCAAATCAGTCGAAAACTGTTAGTTTAAGTTCCAGTTTTGATTTTTAAACATACACAAAATATTAAAACTGAGACGTCATTCAACCTATTACTCTAGCACTCGGCATAGTTAAGGTCTTTATGTAGTGTATTTTTAATGTTTCAGTGTTTGTAGTTACTGCTTTTGTTCTGTTATTAAACTGATGCAATATTTTCATCTTACTCCTCAGCTGGGTAGTTCCTCCAATTGTTTATGCTAATATCTAATTTTTAGCTTAACTTGATTAATTTTGGATATTCTCATAAGCTCAGTCTATTTTGTAATTGTGTGTGTGTGTGTGTGTGTGTGTGTGTGTGTGTGTGTGTGTTTTGTAAGGGGAGCACTGTGTGCACTGGCTAGACTCTTGGCTGCAGACCTGAAGGTCACAGGTTCAGATCTGATGGTGTCAGACTTTGTTTTTTAAATGACCCTGACTCTCAAGTTGATCTAGCCTTTAACTCTTAAAGTCCCAATGAACACATCATAGTTCATAGATTCCTATTTAGAAGCCCAGTGAATGCAAGATAAGCTGAATTTGCATCTCGCATGACTACCTCTTGAGCCTCTGATGCTAAACCCGCTGGCACTCAAAGAGTTAATGGGTACCAGGTCATGGGAAGTAAAGGCAGTGGGCATAATGTTGATCACATCAGCTACTGAGTCAACCAAGTTAAGTGCCGACTGGTCAGTAAAATATTGGCCTAGCCTAAATATGTTTGAAGGTGTGAACAAGGGTTTTTTACATACTCACTCTATATATATATATATATTGTCTTCTCAGATCACACAGTCACAGACTGAGTACGACTGCCTCCAACATCCACCTCCAGGCCCCATCCCGAAGCCACAGCTTTAGACTCAGCAGCCAGACATCCCGGTTTTCCTGCAACCCCTCGCTCAACATGAACACAAATATTACCACAGACAGCTTTGACACGGATGAGGAGAATGATGAGCCTATGTTTGATGACAGCTCTGTTGACGTAATCATATGTTTATTTGTTAATCTGACTTTTACAATTGTAGTTTATCCACCACACAGCTACAAGGAAACCAAAACAGCACTAAAGCAGTCTTTCAAGCGGGAGTGGAGAAAGCAGAATAGAGATTACAGACCAGAGAGTGACAGCATAAAAAAACTCAACAAAAAAGAACAAACATCAAATTTTTAGACTTCGGACTGGACACTGTGGTCTACGAGCACACCTGTACAGGATAGGCATAAAAGAATCTGCTGCCTGTGATTGTGGAACAGAAAGACAGACCCCTGAGCACATACTACAGTACTGCCCTAACCTCTCCCAGTAAAGACTGTGGATCTGGCCCAGGGGATCCACATTGCGAGAGAAGCTAAGGGGGGAAGTAGTTGATGAAAGAAAGGTTTCTTATGTAATAATTCACTTCTTCCTTTGTCTTTACTTGTTCTTTTACCACTTCTGGTGTCGATGGCTGCCCAGAGCTGACACATTGTACTACTGTTTATTTTCTCTGACATTATTTTTCCATCTTGTTCTTGGTCTTTGCTCCTCTCTTTGTCTGATTCATGCTTGTATGGTATGGTGTCACAAAACATTCTGCAAACCATTTTATTTGCTGCCATTGTATGTCATTTAGAATTGGTTGTGTGCCAACATTTTCTCTTATGACTTTATTCCTGATTTTATCTCTTCTTTATTGAATGCTTTAAATAAAATACTGAAATTTTCAATCTGTTCTTATGTATAGCCGCACATCTTAAAATGTGAAAGAACACGTTAACAAATTGGGAGGTGTGAGGAGGCAGAAAAAATGTTTTTTCTGAGATGGATGTTGCAAATACCTTGAGCATTCAGGATAAATGATAACGGTTGCCTGGAAACAAAAATAAATATATGTGCTGGAAACTAGACGAAGAGGGATAGTGTGTACTTTGTTCATAGAATGAGAAGAGACATCCTGTAGAACATTTTGATCACTGGAAAGGTTGGCTGGGAAAACACCCTTAATTAGTGGCCCTTTATGACATGCTTGTCAAGGGCCAGTGGGTACATTGTTTTGTTGTGAAATTGGACTCCAGAACCTGCACAAGGAAAACTGGTTGTTGTGAAATTGGACTCCAGAACCTGCACAAGGAAAACTATGCCTATGCCTATTTCAATTTATACCTTCTAATAGCATCTGATTTTATCCAAAACAGGTGTCCTTGTCTGAGGCTCTGCATGATGCTTTGGCAATCAGCAGCTTTGATGAGGATGATGATGATGATGATGACAATGCAGAAGGTGACGATGAGATGTCCATCTCCATCTCTGAACAGTCGAAGAGAAAACAACGTCAGGGAAAGAAATCTGTAATGTGGAATAACACATCACCAGAGACAAATGATGAGTTGGAAGATGACAAGGGTGATGTCAACTTCAGAAACCAAATGCAGGGGCTGACAGAGTTTGATGTCAAGGCTGGTGGGAAAACAAAGTTAAAAGGTGGCACTGCTGGGAGATGTAATGGCAGATCTGATGAACAATCACTGCTAGAGGAACGAAAGTCCAGTGCAGAAAGTCTCAACTGTGGTAAGTTATTGTTGGTCATCATCGTCTCCTTCTTTTGTAGTCCTACTCTTACAGAGCTGTAGCCCAGCATCGTGGTAGGTGTCTACTCAGATCAGAAAAGCTGTAACCTCTTAGTTGACTGTGAGTCAGTGAATGACTTATGGCATTTATTATAGTTACCAAACTCCATGCAGAATTACTTCTGCTGAGACACTTTGAATCTCTTTGTTGTTGTTTTCCTTCATATTCTGAGCTCTTGAGGTTGATTTCTGCAGATACCACCGATTTCCATTCAACTCTGTGATAAGCCTTCTCTTTCCAGCTAGGGACTGCAAGTTTTTGTAGGTCTGCATGTATATTATCACTCCCCAATCTTCTTAGACTTCCTCTTGGTCTACGAACATTGAACTCCCTTTGCGTACACAGTTGTTACCTCTCTGTCATCTGACATTCTCTGTCTGCACAAGTCACTTCAATGGTGCCACTAATAAGTAAATAAAGTAAAGATCCATTTTCACGCCTTTAGGCACATCAGGCATATGGGAAGAGCATCAATATTTTTACAAATTGGCACTATGTGGGTAATGTGGTCAGCATTATGCCGGATGTCTTTTCCTCCCCAGGACAGCCATCCTGGTACCCATTTTAGGCTGGGTCGACCTGGGACGCCCCATGCCATGATAAAAATGCACACAGGCGGCAGTGGATTTCGATCGTGGTATGTTGGAATTACGAGTCAGACTCGCAACGCCTAAGCCACGGACACCACGCCACTAATCAGTGATCATTTAAATCTAATATTATGATGGGCCCATAGAGTTGTCATAACAATGTATTCTCCTTATGTCTAGAGTCAGTAACACCTGAAAGGCATTCCAGTGCAGCATTTTTGCAGCTTAAACAAAACCTGTCAACTTCATTGCACAGGATTGTATTGCACATGGCTCAGTCTGTCTTAGCAGAGCATCTTTTCGGTTTTGAGAGGAAAGCACAAAGCACTCTGTTGCTCCATTTATGACCCCAAAGGATGTTCAAAGTACCAGCACTTGTGAATCAAATTAGCAAACACATCCTTCAAGCACATGGCAACAACTTAACAACTGCCTGGTAATCTATTTCATGTTCACAAGCTACAGAATTTTTTTTTTTTTTTTCAAGTTGATCTGAAGGTACGAAGTACCAGTGGTTTAATCAATGCTCTTATGATTGCTTAGATATATTTATTATTTTGAATAGATTTATGATTTACTTACTTTTCTGCTTCTTCTCAGCATTAATTGGCTGTGAACTCAGACCAACAGTTCTGCCTTTTTTTTAATCCATTTCCTAATCTTAGTCTGATTCCAGAACTTGAGTCCTGCTTGTATATTTGTTTTACAGATCTGGTTTATTTGTATGCAGACTGTTGGTTCCTGCCTTTCAGACAAATGCACTCCATCTTTGAAGAAAACATTCCTAATTAATCGCCTTTTACCAGATGCTTGTTAAGAAGCAGTGGGTCTAGCTTGTTCTACCCAAAATGGCGCCCCGACACCCAAACATGGAATGTACTGACTGTTTTCAAAAGTGTTTTTTTTAATTGCTTATTAACAACTGTTACGTGTGTTTGTTTTTTGTGTACCAGTTTAAATGTTTCTTGTATTTTTTTTCCTTCAAATTTTGTAATTGTTTTCAAATACACATTTACAGATGTTTTTTTTTCTTCTTATTTACTTCTTCTACATGTTTTTGTGATTGATTTTCTATTTTTTTAAGTATTAATTTTGAATTTACTAATATTACAAGTGTTTTGTTATTTACTATTTCCTAATGGCTTATTGTTATTTACTACTCTTTAGAATAGTCTATTGTGATTCACTATTTACAAGAATCTATTGTTTTTCACTACTCAATAGTAGTTTATTGTTATTTACTAATTTTACAATAGTGTATTGTTATTTAATACTCTTTACAATAGTCTGTTGTTATTAACTACTCCTGGCAATATTATATTGTTGTTTACCACTCTTTACATGTGTTTTTTGATTTACTACTCTTCACAATAGTCTATTGTTATTTACTTATCTTTACTGTAGTCTATTGCGAGTCTGACTTGTAATCCAACGTACCGCGATCGAAACCTGCGTGGGCTGCGTGGATTTTTATCGTGGTATGGGACGTCGCAGGTCGACCCAGCCTCAAATGGGTACCAGGATGGGCTGTCCTGGGAAAGTAAAGACGGCCGGCTTTTCCCATATGCCCGATGCTCTTAAGGGCGTGTAAAGGGATCTTTACTTATACTTACTATAGTCTATTGTTATGTACTACTCTTTACTATAGCCTTTTGTTATTAACTACTCTTTACTCACCTGCCGGGGTTAAAGGTTTTCACTTCAAAGCTGCTCCCAGATTGACCCAACCTAACCTGAGTACCAGGCAATGTGCTCAGAAGTAAAGGCGCCCAATGCCATGTTGACTACATGTGCCAGTTAGTGCCCTTTGGTCTATAATAAAATATCTAGTATCCTACTGAGGCACCACTGGTGGTAAATGGGTCTTTGGCACTTTTACACATGTTTTATTGTTATTTATTGTTTTAAAATGGTTCATTGTGATTTACTTATTTTACAAATGTACAAAGTGAATTTTCTTTCATTCTGTCGACAGAGTCAGATGGGTTACCTGAAACTGATACAAGCAGGATGACCGATGAGACAGAAATAAGTGGGAACAACTATGGCAACAGCAGACGGGAAATCAACACACTGGATGCAAATAGAAACTGTGAACACAACAGCGGGACCAGTAACGGACATGGCAAATCTGACATCTTGTTACTTGACAATCAACCGGACTCACATCAACAATCTGTTCATTCAACAAGTCCGAGAAGATCTCATGAAAGAGTTGTAGCACAAAACAAAATGGATCACAACTATATAGGAAATCCGAGCTGGCATCGAAGTGAGAAGTCGGATAATGTTATAGATTCAAAGAATCAGACTGAGAGTAATAAAATGGTTCATACAGCTTCAAAGAAAGGAGATGTATTAGCTTCAAAGAAAGGAGATGTATTAGCTTCAAAGAAAGGAGATGTATTAGCTTCAAAGAAAGGAGATGTATTAGCTTCAAAGAAAGGAGATGTATTAGCTTCAAAGAAGGGAGATGTATTACTACCTCCTTGTTTAGTTTTAATGGACCAGAGTGGTTCAGAGGTTGGTGGGGGAGGAGTTATGGGGAGAGTGAGAAAGTTGTCTGTGGTTACTCCTCCTGTCTCCCCAGTATCCCCTAGAGACAAGCAGAATGTTCCGTGGATGGCCGGAGGAGTCCAAGTCACGCCCAACAAAGAGAACAGCTCTGATCTCATCATGAGCTGCTTCACACCTATAGAAAAAACACCCATATGTCCTGTCCAGGTCATTGAACCCATGAAGGTGAAAAGTTCAACAGAAATCAATAAGCCATTTCCCAAGAGCACAAACAACATGACGTTAGCAAATGGGTTGGAGGGATGCTGCGGGAGTGGCCCGCTTATGGACATTCCATCAGAGAATCTGGTGACGTTCGCTGTTGAAGTTCATCGGCAGAAAAATATCGCCACAACAACAACAGACATTCACGGCCACACTGAGACTATGTTGTGAGGGGAAGATTACAGTTTTCTCTAACTTGTGGCTGCAAAGTTTTCTCCAACTTGTGGCTGCAAAGTTTTCTCTAACTCGTGGCTGCAAAGTTTTCTCTAACTTGTGGCTGCAAGAACAAAGACTTGTTTCACTCTAAGCCTAGAGTAGAAGTAGAAAGTCTATTTTCCTCTATACTTTTAGAATAGAAGAGCAATTTATATTTCACACTGACACTGTAGGATAGAGGACTCCCCCCAAAAAAGTAGAGATCCCATGGCAAATCCTGTTATAAGTCTTCATTTCTAATAAATTAAATAAAACGCAATAGAAATTGACACGTGGGCATCTCTGCTGTATGCTCTAACCCATGTCAAACATTTCAGGATGCTTTTCCTGTATGGATTCCAGGGCCCCATTGGGGGGGAGGTGGGGTGGAGGAATGCAAAAAAGGAAATAAGACTCACTGCCTGGCTAAAAAGCAGGTAGTAAGAGTCGACTAATCAGGTTTTTTTTAAGTCAAAGTGCATATGCCTGATAAGCGAGGAACCAACAATCTGCATACCAAGAAGACAGATATGTAAAATGGATGTGCATGCAAAACTCGAGTTATGGAACAAGACTACATTTTGGATGTGGACGAACAGCAATAACACTCCCCTGAAGTTTACAGCTGTGAATGTGGAATATTGAATTTAGAATCAACATCTCAGCACTCGGAACACTCCCATCAGAGTTTACAGCTGGTGACTGAGAAGGAGAAGAGGAACACGATGTATGCCAACCGAGGGGTTGTGTGCGACTCAAATAATTGATAAACCTGTTTAAGTAGCCATGACACCACCAGGGTTGCGTGTGATTTTTATTATAGGATGTATTTGTTGATACCATGTCTTCCTGCCGAATGAAGCATTATCGCACTTCTGTTTATGTAACACTTTTCAGTAAAGTCATATTGTGTAGCTATTAATACATTTTGTATTCATGTTATCAGAGTTCCCTACTCATGAGGTTTATTTTATGTTGTTTGTGTGTCATGCGTGTGACGGTGGTGCCACAGTATCACATCTGACATGTTGAAATGTGACAATTCACAAGAACTGTTTAATCATTCACTATCACATGATTTATTATTTGAGGTTCTAAAAAGGATCTGGCCTGTAGCAGAAACAAAAGCATCTTTCCTGAAAATCTGCAGTCTTAATCTCCTTCTATAAAGTCTCCTTGGAATTGCACATTTCTTAGATTTAAAAAAATGCTTGGCTGTTGTGTTCTCCATCTTGTCTTCATGTAACACGAATAACTTAATTTTGAGTGGCGTTTCCAGCTTGTGGGCCAGTAGACAGCAGAAGTAGCCATGTCGGAAGAAAACAGACCCTTAGGAGCCAGAGAAATGCTATATTTGGCCGGGAATCTGATTCAGGTGTGAACACTCCCCGGTATGTAGTTATGGTGGAGCTGCCGTGTTGGCCTTGCCAAATATTCTTGGCCAAATATAATATTCCTCTTGTTTGTCACTCTTGGGATTTTTGGCTCTCATTGAAGCTGAAAATGACCCCTGAAAGAGATTTAATTATAAGTCATAGAAATAAATTACGCAAAGCTGGTAAAACTGGACATTACACAAATTATATTTCGTACGAATATAGCATGCTTTACTTATAAAAATACGACTTCTGTGTGATAGCTGAGTGTGTCGAAAGATTCTAATGTGAGAGGAACCTGTGTGCTCAATGTCTGACCCTTTAGAAATAAGATTTGTTTGTTTGTTTCAGAAAAGGCCTTCTTGAAATAGTTCCAATTATGACATGACCATCTGAAGCTGTAGTAGTCATTTTCACAAACATTTCCTGTTCAACCCTAAGGGCTATAATTGGACAATAAAGTGTTCATTGAGTTCTCATGGAATATGTCTGTTACTTTATGTAAAGTAACAAATGTAAAACACAAACGACCCTTTCAAGGCCCCTAGGCATATAGGGCATATAGGGTATATAGGGTTAGACCTATATTTTATACATCACATGGCATTCGTAGAGAGATGTGGTGAACATCATGCCGGCAGCCTTTACTTCCCAGGACTTTTCCTTGTACCCATCTTAGTCTCGGATGACCTGATAACCAAGATTATTTTCAAACAAAAAATATTCAGCTCAGTGGGTATTTGAACCTATGACCTTTGGGTCAGCATGTGAGCATCTAACCACTGAACCACAACGGTTTTATGTATTGTGTACTGATTTAGTTACATTTAAGGCATTTATAAAATTATCTGGCGTACTGATTTAAAACATTTATGTTGTTTGTACTATTATCTGCCAAACTGACTTGTTCACACCTTTTGCGTATGAATATTTAGATAATCCTACTGACAATATGTCAGTAAAATAGTGGATTTATGATGCCCTTTAAATCGCCATTGATCATCATCGGTTATTTCAGCTTTGAAAGAGTCTGTGCATCGCTCAGGAAACTTTTTTTAAATGTGGGTTCTGAATCAAACCTCAAGGTACATGATTGTATTTCTCCTGGTCACTGCTCGGGT